CCAAAGTCGATCACACAAGCTCGCATCATATCCTCGACAATCTGTATCACCCTCTCGGACTGGCCATCGGTCTGAGGGTGAAATGCCATACTAAGGTTCAAAGCTGTGCCAAAAGCCTTCTGAAGTCCTCTCTAGAACTTCGAAGTGAACCGGGGATCTCTATCAGATATGATTGACAGCGGTGCACCGTGCAACCGAACTATCTCTCTAACGTATAAGTCTGCCAATTTGTCCAATGAGGAGTCACGTCTGACGGGTAGAAAATCAGCGGACTTTGTCAACCTGTCAACAATGACCCAGATGGCGTCATTCTTTCGTGAAGATCGTGGCAATCCGATCACAAAGTCCATAGTGATCCTTTCCCACTTCCATTCCGAAATGGTAGGAGGGTGCAGCAACCCTGTCGGAACCTGGTGCTCAGCCTTGACTTGCTGACAAGTCAAACAGCGCGCAGTGAACTCGGAGATTTCCTTTTTCATAGCTGGCCACCAATAGGATTTCTTCAAATCCTGATACATCTTGTTACCACCCGGGTGCATAGTGTATACGGTTCCGTGAGCCTCACGCAACAAGCGATCCCTCACTCCACCGCGGGGCACCACTAGGCGTTCACGATAGTACAAGGCTCCGTCATCGCGGATTTTAAACTCGGGCCTCTTTCCTGTAGGAACTAACTCTCGAGTCTTCTGACAAAACTCATCATCTCTTTGTGCTGTACGGATCTCCTGCTCTAACGGAGACTGAAGCTGTAGCTCGGCTAACGATTTTCTGCTCAAAGCATCGGCCACGATGTTAGCCTTGCCCAGGTGATACTCAATGACTAAATCGTAATCCTTGATCAGCTCCAACCATCGACGTTGTCTAAGATTCAGCTCCTTATGGGTGAGTAGGTACCTCAAACTCTTGTGGTCGGTGAAGATGTGAATCCTCTCTCCAAAGATGTAGTGGCGCCAAATCTTCAAGGCAAACACCACGGCTGCCAACTATAAATCATGTGTCGGGTAGTTCTCCTCGTGAGTCTTCAACTGTCTCGATGCGTAGGCCACTACCTTACTCAACTGCATCAGTACACAACCTAAGCCGCTATGAGATGCGTCACTATAGATGGTATACCCGATGCCAGGAGTAGGTTGAATCAAGACTGGTGCCTGGGTCAGGCACTCCTTCAGTTGATCAAAACTGCGTTGGCACGCTTCTGACCACTCAAATTTGATGTCCTTACGCAGTAGCTTGTTCAATGGAGTAGCGATCGAGGCGAAGCCCTTAACAAATCGATGATAGTAACCGGCTAACCCAAGGAAGCTCCTCACCTCACGAACATTCCGCGGAGTCTTCCAATCCACTATGGCCGAAATCTTGCTGGGGTCTACCTGGATACCGGTGGCAGAGATAACATGTCCTAAGAATGTCACCTCACTCAACCAGAATTCACACTTGGACAATTTTGCATACAGCTTGTGCTCTCTCAACACACTCAAAACCAATTGCAAATGTCTAGCATGCTCCTCCTGAGTCCGTGAATAAACCAAGATGTCATCGATGAACACTACTACGAACTGGTCCAAGTATGGTCGGAACACACTGTTCATAAGCTCCATGAACACTGCCGGGGCATTAGTCAATCCGAAAGGCATGACTGAGAACTCATAATGCCCATAGCGTGTTCTAAAAGCAGTCTTCGGAATGTCTTCTCTCTTAACGGAAATCTGATGGTATCCAGAACGCAGATCGATCTTCGAGAATGGTCCCATTCCAAAAGAAAGAAGAAGAACGAAGAAGAATCGAAGAAGGAGAAGGAGAAGATAACGATCGAGTGGTAGATAATAGGTTTAGGTTTATTTAATGGTCCCATTCCAAAAAGGATTGGGCTTCGGACCCAAAATACCTGATTAAATGGTCATAACATGAGCTCCATAACTCCGATTCGCGAGCCGTCTGAACCGACGCGATCACAAAAATATTTCCTACGAGATGACATAAAAGTTGGGCTTAAAATCGAAATTATAATTTTAACCCCTTTTTAGGCCCAATTCGTAATCAATTGTTCTAACAATTTAATTAATTCTTTTGGGCCAGGTTTCGGGGGCGTTACATGAAAAATATTATTATGATAAATAAAAATGTTTGAAATGTTTTAAATTTTTACGATTACCATGTTAATACTTTAGTCCGAAAGGGGCTGCAGACCTGGACGGATTAGGGTGTTACATAGTCGACTAAGTCTTGACTTAGTCGAATAGTTCGACAGTTTCAACTACCAAACGGCTAGTTTTTTGAAAGCTTTTCATCCCTATCCACTCTCTATCTTCTATAAACTACCCTATCTCGTGTTTTTGGCAAAGAATATACATTGAAAACACTTCAAAACATATCCTTTGAATATCCAAAGAGATTCTACTCAATCCCCTCCTTATATCCAAGCAAGGCAATTGTTTTGATTGCTAAATCATTTCTTGCTTGAGTTTTTTCCTTATTTCTTGACTCTTTGAGAGATATTACCATATTCTAAAGGACTTCATTGTATTTGCAACAATCTACTGTTGGAAAACATTTTCACTTTGACATTTTGCTAATGACAATGTTTGTTTCCGTTTAGGTTTTGATATTGACAAACCGTCGGGAACATGGAACAAAATGAAAAGATAGAAAAAATTCTTTGAAGAAACAAAAAGCACAAGAACGGCATTGACGTTGCTAAAGATGGCGACACTGGCGCTTTGAAGACGTATTCTAAAGACTTAGGTTTTATTGTAACAAGCCCATTCAATTTCTCTACGTCATGGCTCAAAACAAAGTATGTTTTTCATGCATCAAATTAATGTTTTCATAAATGGTTTTTAATTTTCTAAAACCCATGGTTCTTTCTTAACCAAAACCATAACCATTGGTTATCGGCGTTCGGCTATGGCGTTCGGTTTTCGGCATTGGTTATTGGCATTGATTTTTCCAAATGGTTTTTGGGTTTTTATCCTTGTTTTAAGCTTCTGGACACATTAAAAGGTTTTCAAAATCATTAGTTTTCAAAAACCATAACCTTTGTTCTTTTCGGCATTGGTTATCGGCATTCGGCGCTGGTTATCGGCGCTGGTTATCGGCGTTGGTTTTTGGTCCCCAAATCAATCAAGTGGTTTTTAAGATTTTATGATTGGGTTTTACTTCTAGGCATATACAAATAGTTCTCCAACAAAAACATGTTAAAAACCACCTTTCGTTTTTTTGTCTTTTGGTGAAAACCATGTAGAACGGCATAAACTTGGCTAGCTGTGGCTTTTACCTTAATGAAGTGGTTTTTACGTTTTTATACTTGGTTTCTACCTAAAAGACATTATATAAGAGTTTCCAACACTTGGTTTTCATTTTGGAGAACTTTGGTTTTTGACATCGGTTTTCGGCATTGGCTGCCAAACCATGGTTCTGGCAAACCATCCCGACATGCATGTCGGAAATCCCAACAGCGATGTTGGCCTTCAGAAGCCCTGGGCAGTAAGTTTTTGAACAGCGATGTTCATGGTTAAACAGCGATGTTTTCAAATGACCGTTGGGCTATTTAAGACAGAATCTTTCCATTTTTGAAAGTCAAACACCCCAACAGCGATGTAGACTTCTAGACATCGATGTTTTGGTGACTGTTAGCCATTTTTAAAGGAAAGTCAAAACCAGAACAGCGATGTTCACTATATGAACAGCGCTGTCGGGCTAGATTTTAGCAGATCCACTTTTAATTGATTTCCACAAATCATGCCAATCAACCCTAATATTCTCCCAACCGTTGCACCTTGTTTTTGGGTATAAAAAGGCGTCTCTTGGGTCTATTTTCCACAACCATTCCACACACATTTAATAGCTTTACATTGCATCATTCCATAAACTTTTTACATAGCTTTTTAGAGCCATTTCTTGAGGAATTGAGTGTGTTCTTGATCTTAATTAGTTTACTCATATTCTATTCTTTAAAAGAGTTTTTGTTCTTGAGTGGTTAAGTGTTGTGAACACTTTAAGGGAGGTTTGTTCCCTTGGTTGTACGAAGGAAGGGCATATTCCTTCGAGTTGAAGTCTTGGAGTGCGGTATCTCTGAGCAAGTGTATTGAGGCTCGTGGGACTCGAGTTCTCAGGTTGTAACGGTTTGTTAAGCACCCGTAAGCTTAACGGAAGTAGTGTAGCTCGAGAGAGTCTCTCGGGAGACT